AAAAAAAAAAAAAAAAAAAAAAGGGAAAGGGAGGGGAACGTTGATAATTGCAAATGCTGACGCGTGGCTTAAGTTAATTGAGGTCACCACCTAACACCCAACAAATATCAATTAAATATTCTCCCTTTGTCTTATTCTAAGATTCTCATCCGATCTCATTCTTACTTGAAAACAAAATTTGAAATTAACAATATATAACATAGAGCATAAATTTCTTTTCAGGTAGGTTTATGTTGATGCTAACAATTCGTATGCTAAATCAACAAATTTGTACGACTAGAGTTGTTAGAAGGTGGAAAGTATCGTTAGAATTTCATATAATCAAATTTTACATTTAAGCATTATGACGATCTTCAAGAATCTAGTCAGGTTGACAAGTCTTCTATTCAATCATTTTCTTTTGAATTTAACCGATCTTTTCGAGTTCGAGTGCCAAAGGTCAGTCATTAGACAACACTCGGCCTTCTCTCTCACTTTTAAGGTCGATTTCACTTCAAGATTCGTCAAAAGTCTTTCGATCGACACCTAAGAGACTGGTCGAACCATGAGTTGATTCAAAGGATCGACTTCCAAGAGAATGCTAATCTTACAAGATGATTGGGTTAATACTTAAAGCACAAAGAAGTGGATAAGATCCCAATGGAGCTTCTCACCCAAAGAATCAATTCCTGAAAATCACAAGAAGAGAAATGAGAAAATCAAAGATAAAATCAATAATAAAAAAAGGGAATTTGCAATAAAGAAAAAGAGAGCCTAAGTTTGCTCCCAATTATGTGCGCATATAGAGACAGCACAGCTCGGCGTTGCCCTTGGTAGGTGTGCAACTCACCTTTACTTTATTAGGAGATTTGTCTGAAGGTTAGGTGTTGTGGGTTATGTGGCGGCACCAGAATCTCCACCCTCTCACCTTTCTCGTTCACATTTTTAAAACAAAACACCTTCCCTCCACAAATTCACACGACACCTCACTCCCTTTCACATTAAACTAATCCCCAATCACCAAATCATTTCGCCCAAATTCGTGCTGCACAAACATGTGACACCCGAATCATCAATGGCTGCACACTGCCCCCACCATTCCATCTATATATATATATGTATGCACTTGCAAAGCCTCAAAGGGAGTTTCGGCAGAGCTTTAGTTTTGTTGAGAGAGTTGGAGAAAAGGGTTGTCAATTATGGCTACCAAGTACCATGCCAGGTCCATTAGTTTGCCTTCTAAATCACATCCGAGTACTGTGAAGGTTGAGGAGGAGTTGAGGAAAATGAAGACATGGGAGTCTTGTTCTTTCTCTTCTTCTTCTGTTTGTGGTGCTCTTTTGGGATTACAGGATTTGTATGACTCCATTGATGAGCTTCTCAAAATGGGGTCGACCCACCAGATTTTGTCTTGTCCCCAACTCAAACAGTTGGTGGACGAGTTGTTGGATGGTTCTGTGAAGCTTTTGGATGTTTGCAGCTTGGCGAAGGATATGGCTTTTCAAACCCAACAACATGTTGGAGCTCTTTATTCTGCCGTTCGTCGGAGGAAAGGAGATTCCGCCATTAAAACCACCATTGCTGCTTACACTTGCTACAGAAAAAAGATGAAGAAAGAAGCCAAAAAGTTAATGATATCTATGAAGAAGATGAACGAAAAATTCAACTCAACCCAAATGACAAATCTAGATAATCACCTCAGCTCTGTGATTGGAGCTATGAGACAAGCTTACTCAATCAATAGCTCCATCTTGGAATCCGTGTTGTTGTACTTGACGCCATTGACGAAGCCAAAAGCCCATGGTTGGTCTCTGGTTTCCAAGTGGGTGCACAATGGAGCAATTGCCTGCGAATCAAAAAGTGGCTTGAATGAATTTGAGAGTGTGGATTTGGCTTTGAGCTCTGCAGTAGAAGAAAAGGAAGTTGAGAAGTTGCACATGGCTCAGAGAAGATTGGAGAGTTTGGAAATGACAGCTCGAGAAATTGAGAGTGGCTTGGACGGTGTGTTCAGGAGATCGATCAAAACAAGAGCCTCTCTATTGAACATACTCTCTCAATAGAATTGTACTGTATTTCCACAACCATTTTTGAACCCCTGAATCCTGCAGAGGCACATCCAACTTTTAGGGATCCGCCACTTGTATTTAGCTTGAGTTCCATGTCTATAATACGATTTTGTTCTATTTGTTCTTGATCCAAGGAGAATAATAGCCTTGGTCTTTGATTGATCACTTCCTTTAATGCGTTTTGATCAAATCGCCATACAGAAAAGGTTAAATGGATAGGGTTGGTTGATGAAAATCTTATTCTCTAAGCAAAGAGATTCCAAGCTCAGCCAGTCTTCTAATTCAATCTACCAACAGGCTTTCGCCGTCTAAAACAATTGGAATGGGCCTTGTATCTTACTCAACCCAACCAGATTCCTCATCTGCCCAAGCCAAGTGGCTCTCTTCTATGCAATCTTAACAAGTCAATTTCCTGATACAGGCCACTAAGTTTGTGAACATCTTCTCTTTTACAATACTCTTTGTCCTCTTCAATTCTGAACAGTAGTTTCATTAATGCTACAGCTGAAATTTAACATCCCTCAAAAAAGCTCCATTAAAGCAGTTTCCTACAAGAATTAATGAAATTTACTCTCGCTAATCAAATGGAGAATAAATTAAGGTGGAGGGATGAGTTGGAGTCTTAATGGGAAAGAAATTAAAGGAGTCCTAAAAGTGCAGCTTCCCACGTAACCGCACACAAATGTTTAATAAATTGAAGGAGCTAGTACTCAAGCCCACAGTTAGCCGATATTGTCTTCTTTGGATTTTCTCTTTTGGGCTTTCCCTCAAATTTGTTATAATGAGTCTACTAGGAAGAGGTTTTCACACCCTTACAAAGAATATTTCGTTCTTCTTCCCAATAGAATATTTCGTTCTTCTCCCCAACTGATGTGAGATCTCACAATTCACCCCCTCCAGGACCCAGCATCCTCGTAGGCACATTACCCGGTATCCACCCTCCTTTAGAGATCAACGTTCTTGTTGGCACACTACCTAGTGTATAGCTCTGATACAATTTGTAACGGCCCAAGTCCACCGTTAGCAGATATTGTCCTCTTTGGGTTTCTCTTTATGGTTTTTAAAACGCGTCTGTTAGGGAGAGATTTCTACACCTTTATAAAAGAATGTTTTGTTCCTCCCCAACCAATGTGGGATCTCACAATTCATCCCCCTTCAAAGCCCGATATCCTCATTGGTACTCGTTCTCCTCTCTAATAGATATAAGATCTCACACATTGGAACTTTAAACATACTACAATATGGATATTTGGTAGAGTGAGTTCAACAAAATATTGTAAGAAAATAGCCCTTAGAACATTTGAATAAGAAAAGTAACCAATATAGTTACTAGAGTTTCGACATGACATGGGAATGAGTTTGTAGCAAAATAGAAATAAGTAATTCATAATTAACACGAATGGTGCGACTAAATTTGTATCACTTCCCTAGTTTCTATCTAACTTGATGGACATTTCCATATTCAACCACTAGTTGAATTAACACACATAGTAGAGCCCCCCCATGACTAGCCACCAAATGCTCTTATCTCCAATCATTTGCATGATAAGTTGTCGCTAATCACCAGCTGCCATTTGCAAGAGGATTTGATTGATAACTCATATGCTTCTACTCCTTTACCTGCCAGCATAGCCATCTCATTTGGGCTCCACCCCC